CCCACCAGCCCAAATCCCTGAAACCTCAACCCTTAAGGGAGAATAGGAGGGACCCCTAGAACGGACCCCTAATCAAAATACCCTATATAACCCCCCCAAGGGTCCCTTAAATTTAAGGGTCCCTCCTTAAGTCCCTTGAAACCCCAAACCCCATACCCTAAAACCCTAATCCTTAAACTGCTATCCTCAAACCGAGAGCCCTGCCTGAAACCCTAAGCTTACTGCCCCAATAAGCCACGAACATAAAAGGGCTCCTTATTATAATTAGAATTTGCTGGGCCCCAAACCCTATTCTAATTATTAGGGCCCCTATATTAGGGAACCCTTGCATTGAAGCCTCGTGACTTCCACGTCAGCAAAACCAGGGCTTCCGGACACATTTAAGCGTTGGGTCTCGCTTCGGACTCGGTGTTCTATCAGATGTGTTGATGTTTATAGAACTTTTTAATTTCAGGCTCCTATATAAGGAACTCTGAAACCTTTCTATCAAGGTTGTTAAAAGAGTATGTAAACGGTTGCTCTTTCCGGTTGCGATATGGGGTTATGTGGAGGAGAGTCCCGGCCTGGGCGGAGGGCTCCTTCGTCGGGAGGTTAAGTTGGGAGCTTCGCAGAAAGCGTGAAACCCGCTTTATAAAGTCTAAGGTTTAGGGTTGAGGAGGTGGGGCTTATAGGGTTTAGCGCTTAGGATTTAGGGGTTATAGGGTTTACAGTTTAGGGTTTCAAAACTCTACATATTAAAAGCACCACTCACCATACCTTTACGGCCTTACACTCTAATACACCTTAAACTTTAGCTGAAACTGCAACACCAAGCCCGAACCGTGACTGGGATCTAAAGAATGGACTTTTGGGCTTTCAGACGTGCCCCCAAGTTTGAAGCCTATATTATTGCCATGCCAAGGGAGCCGGCAACGAAAGGTCCGAAATGTAGAAGAATTGAGTTTAAGGTTTAGGGTTTAAGGGTTTAGGGTTTAAGCTTTTAGGAATTGATAATTGGAGTTCACAGTTTTCTGGTATTCTGGCAGCGTGAGTATTGTCAATTTGTGATATTCAGGTGCGGGGTGCTTACTGCAGGCAAGCTATCATACGTGCGAACCCCCATGAAAACCAGATTAAGCCCCTTTAACTTGATAGAAGCGTTGACAATCAGACTTTGGTTTGGGGGATATATCATCGTATATCATCGTATCCGTATACCAAGGATCCCATGGCGAATGTTATGGTAGTGACACCTTTGACACTATATTACCAAAGAAACCACTGAACCATAAACTCTATACCCAAGAACCCTATGTTCAAACCCTGCGAACGGCATGGCCTGCAGAGAGGCATTGCACAAGTTCTCGACCGCCTCAACCTTGCCAACCGACTCTCCGGGATGCTTAAACCCTAAGCCCTAAGCCCTTTACCCTAAAACCTAAAACCCTAAACCCTAAGCCCTAAGCCCTAAACCCTAAAACCCTGCACCCAAAGCCCTCAACCCTAAGCCCTAAACCCTAAACCCAAAGCCCTAAACCCCAAAGCCCTGAACCCTAAACCCATAGCCCTAAAGCCCTTAAGTCCCAAACCCTAAAGCCTGAGGGCCTTGTGGGTTGTTTAAAGTTTGCTAGGTTTCCCAGTAGCCCCTTCATGACAAGGGTGCCCTTTTTCATGCTACTCGGTTTAACAGGGAGACCCCAAAAATGAGGTTTGGGAATTTGGATGTTCAGGGTCTTGGGTTTAAGCGTTTAAGGCTCATCAAAACTTAAATGAGGGACTTATATGAGTTAGATGTGTGTAAAAATCTACATGTGTGTGTGTGTACGTGTGTCTGTATGTGCGTGTAGGTATGTGTATGTACATACCCTATATACACAGAACAGTATGTGAAGGGTTCCAGAAGGTTCTGAGTTCCTGCTGAACTCAAAACTACAGATGTTCACAGCCCCCAAAACTCCAAAGTCGCACCCTAAACCCTAAACCCTATAAGCCCTAAGCCCTAAACCCTATAAACCCTATAGACCCTCTAAACCCTAAACCATATAAAAACCCTAAGCCCTATAAACCCTACACACTAAACCCAAAGCCCTATGAAGCAGAATGAATCCCTGAAGAGTCCGAACCCGCTAAACTCCACGACCTGGACTTCAGAACCCGAAAGCCTCAAACCTAAACCGTTTAGGGTTTAGGGCTTAAGGTTTTGGGTTTCCCAAAACCCAAACACTAAACCCAATGTAAAATCCAGAGCCCAAAACCCAAAACCGTGTCTAAACTCCAGAGCCCAAAACCCTGAACCTATGTAAAGTACAGAACCCAAACCCCACAACCCTAAACGGATGTAACGTCCAGAACCCAAAACCTTAAACCCAATGTAAGGTCCAGAACCCCAAACCCTAAACCCAATG